TTGTAACAAGTAATTATAAGATACATGTATGCCTAAATGTACTTCCATAGAATTTATGAAGTTTTTACTGGAAATTGAGACCACTAATTCAAGGGATCTCTTTTCTTCTGTAGCCCAGGCATGGCTGAGAGAGTATAATTTACAAAGCAAACTCAAAGCAAGAAAAAGAGAATCCAGTGATAATCCTGGCTTGCAACCCAACTTGTACTGTATTTGTACCTGACAGAATCCTCCGTTTTGTTTCGTGGTGTGAGAAGGTTAAAAAATAAAACACAGAGAGAGGGAAAGTCATTCAGGATTTTAATTAATCTGTTTGTCAGTATTGCAGAAAAGGAAGACCTTTCAGTGGCATAAGTGAAACCTGACTTAGTGACTTGAAGTGATTAATTATACCACTTTGTCCCAACTCGTCTACATACAGTATGAGCCTTCTGACATCCTGGGTGAAAGATTGTTTTTAGTGGAGAGCATCTTTAATTCAATGTGAACCTTTAATGTTAAAAAAAGTCTAGACTTGAATGTGGTGCAAGTACCTAGGCTACAGTAAAAATGACCAATTTGCCAAGTGCTCTTGATTAGTGGTTTCCTAATGAGATGTGTGTGCCGAGTTATCGTGGGGACATTTCTGAGTCCCCACAATGTTTTCGGTCCCCACAAAATACATGCAGGTGAAATGTTGAATGTACATGTACGTGTACGTGTATGTCCCCACAACTACAGTGCAGGAGGTTGCATACATGTATGTATTTACCTGTATCTATAAAACCAAAATAAAAAAAAATTTACAGCCAAAACTGGAGGCAGATGCTGATTTTAAAAAGATGGGAAATATATTGTATCAGCAGCAGACTGTTCTCTGTGTGGAATGCTCTACATGTACATAATGTATACTGCATACATGTATAATCTGCATGTTGCCATTGTGTTGATTGATTAGCATGCGTGTGTTGGACAAATGACAGAATCCAGAAATGCCCTTGGCTTGGTGTTAAAAATTGATGCTGTCTATTGGCTGTCTGCATACAGGTACATGTACATGTACACGTCATTCTGGGAGGGAATCTCTCAAACAACAGGGCACAGTATACATGTAAATGATATTTGTCACTTTTTAAAACTAAGACCACAAATAAAGTGATCGTGTACGGATACATGTGCGTGCATGTACAATGCATGGTCACCAGCCTTTGCATTATCATTCTTGTTTAGTGATGGACACCAGTCCTAACAGCACTGCATGCCTCACAATTAACTTAGTGGCAACGGAGAGTTGATGCACAATGCTCCATGTGCATCCAAACTCTTCACTTAATGATCCACCTTTCAGGGAGAACATGCAATCCGACATTGAAATAAGGAAGAAAAATAATGAAGGTTGAAAAACATGCAGTTAATTTTTTGTGATGAGCGAGACAGCAATATTGGCAAAAAGAGCCTGAGGCGTGCAAGTTATCAAAATTCATGAAGCGAAGTGCCCCACGTTTAAATGGGCTTTTGAAACCATGCACCTGCATCTAATCTTCATTATCCCTTCCTGCCCAAGACATGCCCATCCAAATAAATCCACCCAGCGTTCTGCACCAGCTGACCTTTAAGCGTTACACAATGTGGCATCATTAGTCAACGAATTGCCATCATTTCGAGAATTCCTCAACAGCTTCATGGCCAAGTTGGCATGGCCAGCTATTCAAAAAGCCATAGGTACTGTACTTCTACACTACAGTGATGTTCTGGTACATGTACACTGAGCAGTTGATAATCTCTTGACGATCCCTGACTGTCAGGCATTTTCTGGGGCAACTGAGAAGAGATGTACCAATTTATTCAAAGGTCTCTGTCAAATGTGAAGGATGGTAAAGTGCAATGTACATGTACATGTATGCAGGAGCTTTGCCTAATACATTGTACATGCACCATGGAGCTACAATACAAAATAATACTCTGGCTTGTCAGTTGCCTGGTTGGTGCTCTTATCCTCAGCTTTTATTGAGGGAGGACGGGTCAGAATTGATCTGTGGCCACAGGTGTCTCGCACGTGATTATTGTGTTGAATTGGTATCCATGATAGTAGCGGTTGACTATGAGCTTTGAAGCTTTTCCTTGTGACAGTGCTGGTAGCAATGTAAGCACAAGATTTGCTACAGCACCACGGCAAACACATCTCTTTTGTAAGTGTGGTTCTGAAAAGAACCGGAGGGTACTCAATGTTTGGAAAAATATGCTCTGTCCATCATCAGGAGACTGCTGGGATTCCAATAACTAGCTGTACTTGCTTTAATATTGCAGGGTCTTCTATGTATAATTTGTTTTTTGGAGGTCATATAGTGTATTGATTCTGCATGAAAGGAGGATTGATTCATACATGTACATGTACGTACATGTATGTTGCAATCACTCAAGCTTGCATTCAAGTACAGGGTACATGTACGTACATGTACATGTATGTTGCAATCACTCAAGCTTGCATTCAAGTACAGGGTACATGT